GAATTTTAGAATTTTAGTACTGATGACTAGTGTAATGTGACTTTAAATGCAACACACTTATTGTTATGTCCCAATTAGGATATAATAAATGGTAACTGTTGGGATCCATTGATGACCCAATACTAATGCGTATATTTTTATCGTATAATTGCTAAACAACTCAACTATTCATATTCATGTTCCTCTTATATTAAGCTTTATTTTGACCTATGAACTATTATTATACAATTTAACATTCTTGAATTATGCCCTGTCTATCAATTACTATCCCCCTTATTCACAGCCACATTTGGCTAAATCTTATACAAATATTGTTTCTTATTTTATGGTACAATGTGGTCTATTTGATTAGTATATAAACTCAGTATGTTTAAATTATAATGATTCATATTGTAGAGACTGTTATTGGTGTTCTGGACTTAATAGACAGAGCTAGCCGGTAAGCAAGGACTGATCAGGACTCAAGACTGCTCGTAGGAGTTTTATGCGTTATTGGTTCGATCGATAAACCGTTCCTCTCTGATGGGTGGCATTATCATGTTATATATTAACAGGGTACACAGGCCACAAGATATAACACTTATCAGTTCGTGAATGTGTTTTTTTTCCTCCCTATTTTACCATAATCAGCTTACCGATTGGTAACTAAAATGAACGTAACTCAGTGAAAAGGACATTACTATTGATTGAATCTATTTTTGTCCATGTTGACTATTTACTTGTTATATATATCAGTGTTGGATTTCGTGAAGATTGAAGAATTTTTCCCCTAACAGCACGAAATGAAATTGATCACATGATATTGTTAACAATAAATCACCTGTTCAATCTAGATGTTCTTATTTAACATTGTTGTCATGAGAAAATCAAATGAAGATTGATATCTTCATTCAAAGGGTTTGAATTAAAACTTATAATCTGTACTGAATTTGTATATTAGTTATGTTTATCAGAATACCACACCTTTTGATCAGCTGATGGTAAGGTTGGAGTATGAATTTTACTTGTACCAAGTACATCTAACCAACTGGAGGATCAAAAGAATTCATAATGGTTTCAACTAAAGTTGCCTAAATCTTTTCTTCAGTTTCATTTAAAATGATTTTGTAATATCAAGAAGTTGTCTGGAAGAGATCTTCAGCTCTATAAAATTATACGAAGTATAGAGATTGATATTCCTCTTGGCTGACAATCATAAAACACTAATAATAACTTACTTACTTACGCCTGTTACTCTCAATGGAGCATAGGCCGCTGACCAGCATTCTCAAACACACTCGATCCTGGGCCTTCTTTTTTAGTTCTATCCAGTTCTTGTTCATTCTTCTCATGTCTGTCTCTGTTTCTCGGCGTATTGTGTTCTTTGGTTTTCCTCTTCTCCTTTGGCCTTGACGATTCTATGTTATGGCTTGCCTTGTGATGTAGTTGGGTGATTTCCTGAAGGTGTGTCCTATCCACTTCCACCGCTTCTTCCTGATTTCTTTCTCCACTGGATGGAATATCGTTTGTTATCTTCCACAGTAACTTGTTGCTGATAGTGTCTGGCCATCGGATCCGAAGTATTTTGCGTAGACAGCTGTTAATGAACACTTGTATCTTCTGGATAATGGCTTTCGTAGTTCTCCACGTCTCCGCCCCATACAGAAGAACTGTCTTGACATTTGTGTTGAAAATTCTAACTTTGGTGTTGGTTGACAATTGTTTTGAATTCCAGATGTTTTTCAGTTGTAAGTATGCTGCTCTTGCTTTGCCGATCCGCGCCCTCACATCTGCATCTGATCCACCGTGTTCATCAATGATGCTGCCCAGATATGTAAAGGTTTCCACATCCTCCAAAGCTTCTCTTTCAAGTGTGATTCGATTGATGCTTGCTGTATTGTATGTATCGGAGAGTCTTGCCTTTCCTTTTGTGTATATTGAGACCTACTGGTGTTGAGGCTGCTGCTACACTGGTCGTTTTCTCCTGCATTTGTTGTTGCGTTTGTGATAGAAGAGCCAGATCATCCGCGAAGTCGTAATCGTCAAGCTGCATCCTGCCTGTCCACTGTATCCCGTGCTTCCCTCCACATGTTGACGTCTTCATAATCCAGTCGATCACCAGGAGAAAGAGAAAGGGTGAGATTAAGCAACCTTGTTTAACACCGGTCTTTACTTCAAACGAGTTGGTGAGTTGTTATCCGTGGACGATTTGGCAGTTCAGTCCATCATAGGAGTTCCGTATGATATTGACTATCTTCTCAGGCACGCCGTAGTGTCGAAGAAGAATTCATAGTGTCGTCCTGTCCACGCTATCAAATGCCTTCTCGTAGTCAATGAAGTTGATGCAGAGTGATGAATTCCATTCGATTGATTGTTCCACAATGATCCGCAGAGTTGCGATTTGATCTGTGCACGATCTATCCTTACGATATCCAGCTTGTTAACCTCGAAGTTGGGCGTCCACGGAATCCTTCATCCCGTTTAACAATACTCTGTTGAAGACTTTTCCTGGTATTGAGAGGAGAGTGATGCCCCTGTAGTCGTCGCACTTGCTCAGATCGCATTTCTTTGGTATTTTGATCAGAAGTCCCTTTTTCTAGTCTTTTGGTACTTGTTCTTCATACCAAATCTTACTGAAGAGGATGTGGAGTATATTGGCAGTTGCTGCTACGTTTGCCTTCAGTGCCTCCGCCGGGATGTTGTCTGGTCCCGCTGCTTTGCCACTCTTGATTTGTCTAATGGCCATGCTGATCTCTTCAATTGTTGGTGGGTCAACATCGATTGGGAGGTCTGTGGGTGCTGCTTCGATGCTGAGTGGGTTCAGTGGAGCTGGTCGATTTAAGAGTTCTTTGAAGTGTTCTACCCACCTGTTTAGTTGTTCTTCAATGTCGGTGATTACTTTGCCTTCCTTGCTTTCCACTGGTCTTTCTGGCTTACGGTAATTTCCAGCAAGTTTCTTTGTTGTATCATACAGTTGTCTCATGTTTCCCTCTCTTACAGACTTTCCCGCTGACATCGCTAAATCTTCCACATATTTACGTTTGTCGGTTCTGATGCTCCTCTTCACCTGCCGGTTTGCCTCTGTGTATTCGGCTTGTGCCTTGGCTTTTTCCGCTTTGGTTCGACTGGTATTGATTGCTGCCTTCTTGTTCCTCCTTTCTTCAATTTCATCCAGTGTATCAACAGTGATCCATTCCTTGTGATGCTGCTTCTGTTGGCCCAGAACCTCCTGACATATTGAAACGATTGCCTCCTTGATACCTTTCCAGTTGCTCTCCATTGTAGTCTCCTCTCCATTCAGTAGATCATGAAAGGCCTGGAACCTGTTGCTGAGGGCTATGTTGAATTTGTTGAGTTTGTCAGCATCTCGAAGAAAGGCCGTATTAGACTTTTGTGATGTTGTCCGCGCCGTTGTCCACTGCTTCTTGAATTTTAGTTTCATCTTGACGACCAGCAAATGATGATCGGATGCTAAATCAGCTCCTCTTCTGGTTCTCACATCCTCCATCGTCCTACTGAACGTTTTGTTGATGCAGATATGGTCGATTTGATTCTGTGTAGTGTGATCCGGTGAAATCCAAGTGGCTTTGTGTATGTTTTTGTGCGGAAATATGGTGCCACCTATGACCAGTTTATTGAAGGCACATAGGTTTGCAAATCTCTCACCATTTTCGTTCCTTTCTCCCAGTCCATGTTGTCCCATGACGTCTTCGTATCCAGTGTTGTCCATTCCAACCTTGGCATTGAGATCTCCCATCAGAATTGTCAGGTCCTTGGTTGGGCACTTCTCGAAGATCGACTGCAGCCTATCGTAGAATTGGTCTTTAGCGTCTTCATCGTAGTCGTTAGTAGGCGCATAGCACTGGATGACGTTCATTGTAATGCCCTCTCTCTTAGTTTTGAAGGAGGCTTTGATGATCCTTGGTCCATGAGATTACCATCCAATAAGTGCATTTTGTGCTTTTCTGGACAGCATCAATGCAACAGCTTGTGTATGTGGGGCATTTTCTTCTTCATGACCGGAGTATAACAGAAGTTCTCCTGAAGAGAGTCGTTGTTGTCCAACCTGCGTCCAATGTGTTTCGCTGATTCCAAGAACCTCCAGGTTGTATTTTCTCATTTCTGCAGCAATTTGGAAGACTCTTTCGGTCTCCCGCATTGTCCGGACATTCCATGTACCTATAAAAATTGTTGCTCTGGTTGTAAGAAGGTGCATCGGCCTCATGACTTCCGAATGAACTCGTCTTTCATCATGAGACGTCATAATTATTCCTTCTACTCCCAGGGCAGAGTTTGAATTGTTTGAATGATCTATCAATCTCGCACGTGAGACCTTAACTACTAAACCACTAAGCCGACATCCAACGGTGTCATTATCTACCTTCAACCAATAGAACGAAATTGAGCAACCGTTCACCAATTGTCTTCAGTGAGTTGATATCTCATAACAGACTTGATTTGTTACCAGTTTGATTATACAACCCGAGTTCATATGTATCGATGGTAACAGTAGTTAACATTTGAAACTAACTATTCATGAATAGATAAAGATGTTTGTCATGATATACAGTATTATTGAAGAAAATTATATCTATTCTGTATTGTTTACTTATATATATAAGAGAGTATGTTTGTCACATGTAAGAAATTAGATAAACATTGGCAATGAAACACCCTTTACACACACGTAGATATATATACTGTATATCAATGTATAGAAGCACGTGTTTCTATGCATGAACATTTAGCTATATAAGAAAGTACCTGTTACTCTGTCCTATAAACATTTTAGTTTATAAAACTTTACCCCTCCCCCCCCCAAAAAAAAATAAAAATAATAATAATCATAATGATAGACTTTAAATACATTTTCGTCATTTACACATGTGTGTATCCACATCTCTCTATCTATCTAACTATAGGCCTCTAAATGAATAGGTGTATATATAGTCATCACTATATTTATACTATAGAAACTACATATATATATATATATATACGCATACATACACATTAGTTTTGATACACAATCATAGATAGTTACTGCCTATCAGCAAACTGTTTAGTCTAAGGAAAATCTGTTCATTTAGTCTTTAACTATAATCAAAATTATTATGTATCCATCTCTCTCCATCTATCTCTCTCTCTATCTATGTATCCATATATGTAATAAAAGGTAAGTGCATATTGGTTAGCACCAAACAAAAAAAACAAAACACTAAAGGGATAATGTTTTATAATCTACATAGTGTATCTATGTGTATATGAAACATTTAAAAAGGGGAAATGATTCATAAAATTAAATAAATTTATCAGGAAAAAAAAATGGTAATAATTAATGAATGAATAAATGAATTAAAATAATTATCAGAAATCAAAAGTAAAAAAAAATCTTCAACTCATTGTTGTCAAGGATTACATAATCAATTACAATCAATGTTACATAATAATAGAAAAGAGAAACAACCATAGCAACAATAACAATATAGCAACAACAGCATAGCAACAACAAGTGATTTGTATTAAACATTTCATAATATACCTGTGGAATCATTCAAAAAAAAAAAATCGGAATCATTTAGGTGAATTTTAATGATGAATACTATTCAATATGGATTTATATAGTAGTATATTCATATTAGATTATATACATGTAATGGGTATAAATGAAAGCAATATTCCTTTGTTTCGTTAAATGAACAATAAAATTATCTGATCAATTATTTTTGTTCAAATTAACAATTATGGAAAATCATTTTGATCATCAATTGAATGATCCAGATTCTGAGTCAAAGTAAGTATCTAATTTATACTACTTTAATACTTATAATGATTATTCATTATTATTATTAGATATGCACCACACAAGTCACTTGATTTGTGTGTATGATCTATGATACTAACCTGGTGCCTAGACCGAACCAGAAGGTTTGCTTAGGGGGGGGGAGCACACCATACGTTTATGACGTAAATGTCTAATCCACAAGTCAGTGGAACAACGTAAGAAGTTGTAACCTCTTGGTAGCCGGTGACGAACAATAGGTTTATAAGCCATTTGTTCCCTTAGTATCTTGGAGTCCATGTGCACCATTAGTTTAAAATCAGAATTTTCCAACTCCTTTTTGTGAACTCACCTTGTCCACCAATCTGGTTAAAGCGCCGGATCTTCGCTTTTCATCTTCTCAATTTTGTAAACAAGACCTTTAGACTACCAAGACAGAATCCTGCGGTGTACAAGTATAGATTCGAAATTACTCTAATACGAAATAGGGATAGTAATTTACCATCAGTTTGTCTAACCGTACCACTTGACCCCTAATGTTTGCATAACTTCATACACACTAACGGATTAATACTTTTTATTTGCAATTCAACCAGTTCCCATTTCATATCATTGATCGTTCCTAAAGCATCAAGTTAAACATATAGAAGAATCCATTAAAATAAAACTAAAAGCAATATCATAGAGTCATAAACACTTTGCTTTACAAGTAGACTTTAAGATAAGCCCAAAAATAACTGAAATATGCATTCAGCATGAGGAAAATGAATCGAAATTCTAAAGAAATACTACATTTTTGAAACTTAAGAGAGGATTCTAGTGTGTAGTATACTTCAACAATATAGAAAACTTGCCAAAGTATTTCTATCATACAATACATAAAATGCGTAGTTCAACCAATATACATTCTGTCATGTGGTTAAAGTTAGTTTAAATAAACCTCTGAAACTGAATTTCATGATATTTGGCTCTCGTCATCGAGGTATACCTACACCCTTGAGCTCCACTTTTACTAATGCTGAACAGTAGGAAACATAAGTTCAGGCTTTCATGTAGTGCATCTTTAGACAAGCAACATCTTAACACAGTGCACGGAACGTACATTTACATGGGCCATAGGTTTTTATTTCAACTTTGTTCATAGTATTTGTTTAGCACTAAAGGATTAGACAAGAATGATATTGCTCACTGACCAACGATCAGTCACTTGTCAACACCAATTCTAAACAGATCCTACTATTCCTTAAAAACAGATTTCACTTACTTACTTACTTACTTACTTACTTACTTACTTACTTACTTACTTACTTACTTACTTACTTACTTACTTACTTACTTACTTACGCCTGTTACTCTCAATGGAGCATAGGCCGCCGACCGGAATTTTCAAACACACTCGGTCCTGGGCCTTCTTTTTTAGTTCTATCCAGCTTTTGTTCATTCTTCTCATGTCTGTCTCTATTTCTCGGCGTATAGTGTTCTTTGATCTTCCTCTTCTCCTTTGGCCTTGAGTATTTCATGTGATGGCTTGTCATGTGACGCCGTTGAGTGACTTCCTCAATGTGTGTCCTATCCACTTCCAACGCTTCTTCTTGATTTCTTCCTCCATTGGATGGAATATGGTTTGTTCTCTCCCACAGCCTTCAATTTCAAATCATTTCATATTTGTCTATCTGCTGATCAAGTTTAATGTTAATAATTATTTAAGTAGATTTACTTATCTTCTATAAAGAAATTCGATTAAGCATTAATGTTTTAACTTTGTAAGCATTTATTGACTTGAAAAATTCTTTTTTCGAAACTACAACTTTATACTTAATGAATTTATTAAGAAAACCATTTAAGTTATACTATAGTGTGTGCTATTGATGTCGACAGATATAAGTAGTATGTATCATCAATCAAAAGTGGAATACCTGAAGGCAAAATGTTAAGGAAATCGAAGAGAAGAGAACGAGAACAGGGGATGATTAGTGTTTAAACGAAGGAACAATCAATTTTGAAGCGATTAATTGATATTTTGTAAATGAAGTATTCACTGTATAATTCTCAGATTTTGCTAAGATGTTCTGTAATTTTGTATTCAATTACATATGATTGGTCCCACTTTTGATCTCTGTCAATACAATGCTAGATAAATCAACGTAAAGCTTCGGTATTTTCAAAAACTGGGAGGGGGTAATCACTTCAAAAAAATAGTAGTATGGTTTGTTATTCCGACTATTTTAAAGCCTTCTACAAATGTAAAAAAACAGATGTTTTATGATTATTGAAGCTAGACCACCAAGGAGGTCCCACAATAGAACGAAACGGCCGTCCAGTTCTTCCAGGTTTTCCTTGGTGATCTAGCTTTAATTGATTCAGCCAGAGCCCTTAACCGATAGACCACTGAGCCGGCATCCAACGGTGTTAATGTCTAACTTCAACTGATCCACGAATTATGAGCGACACTTCACCAATTGCCTTCAGTGAGTTGTTACCTCACAACAGACGTGGTTGAACTCCACTGGTCACTGCTCCCAACTAGAACTCCAGGACATGTATCTTGAAATCAGTCACTAGTGAGCATATGATTATAATCAGAAGGGGATTTGTGGAGATTTCAGTATATTTCAAAGTTGAAATCATAAAATTAAAAGTAACCATAGATGTTATTCACATTATGTAATGTATATGAAGTATTCAATATCACTTTTGAAATAATAAACTAATACTTTAAGTTGAGTTTTATAATTTAATAGTTGAGATCATGAATCAATTAAAGCTAAACCACCATGGAAAACCTGGAAGCACTGGATGGCTGTTTTGTCCTATTGTGAGATTCCTCGGCAGTGTGCATCCACGATCCTGAAATAAATGAGTAGGATAAAATAATTAAACTTTTCTAATGTAAATTTTCTTCATAGTTATTGAAAATTTTTTAATTTTTTACTCATTTTTTTAAATAAAATTACTTAACCTTCATTTTAAGTTATTTGTATTTTTAAGTAATAACTACGTGAATTAGTTAAGTTAGATATAAACACTGTAAACTACAGGCTTGGTGATCTAAAGGTGTAACGAAGAGTCCAGGGTTGGATACTCGAGAGGTGAGATCGTGAATATTCATTGTGAAGGATTCCAATACTAGGACAAAACAGCTGTACATACAGTGATTACTGGTTTCTCATGATGGTCAAGCTTTAATCGACTAATGAAATCAATTATTAAACTGAGAGTTTTTTCATATATTTCTAACAAAAATATTATTTTACAATAATTAATATAAATATACATGACTTACTTATTTACGCCTGTTACCCCTCGTCGAGGAGCATAGATCACCCACCAGCATTTTCCATTCAACCCTATCCTGGGCAATCCTTTACAGTTCTTCCCGGTTGTTATTCATCCTTTTTATATCTGATTCTATTTCCCGACGTAATGTGTACTTTGACACTCTTCTTTTCCGCTTCCCTTCCGGATTCCAAGTTAGGGATTGCCTCGTGATGCAGTTTGAAAGTATATATATTTACGTAATAATCTTATATTTCATTCTTTAAGTATACTTAACTTCAATTATTCACTTTAAGTGAAACTATTCAATGACCTTATCATTTCAGAATGATCATTTTAGTTTGATATTTATATATTCAGACATGAATAATTAAGTAGTAATGAACTTTGTCATTAATCTATAAGATTTGGTTCCTTAATCAATAAAACCAGTAACATTTTTGTTAATAAGTAGTATTTAACTTCATGGAAGAAACAATTTGAATAAGATAAATTAAACACCATTTAGATCTTAAATACGTCTGATTTCATAAAGTTAATTAGTTTTTATTCTTTGAACGTAAATAACAAAGGGACATCGGATAGATATGCACCACACAAATCTCATTTGATTTTTGTGAGGGCTTGAATACTGACCGCGTGCCCAAATCGAGGCAAATGGTTTTCTTGGGGTGCCACATCAAAAGTCTTTGACCTGAAGATCCGATCCACGAGGCAGTGAAGCATCGTAAGGAGATGCGAACCCATGATAGCCGGTGACCAATGATTGATTCATAAGCCCTTTGTTGACTCAGGATTCTGGAGCACATGTGCACCATTGGTTTGGAATCGCGGTTTTTCAACTCCCCTAAGTGAAAACAAGAAAACAGATGGGTTTTTTCACTCAAAAAATATTTAAAAATTCACCACAAGGGTTTTAAAACACCTTCAAACTAATGTATCTTATAAATCGAAGTAATCATTTGTACAGACCAAAATACACAAAGTAAAAGATAAAAAATGTGTTGTTCTAGTTAAGAGAAACACTAAATTAGACGAAATGGATCTTCCCATTTTCATGTCAGTATACATAAACATAAAATACAACTAGGACAATAATATATATCATCATTGATATAAATACATACAGTCAATCTTTGATATGAATCAGGCTTGAAAAACTTTAAAATTCTGAAGGAATTTGAAGAGTCCTAAAGAGTTTCAAGAAGTTTATCATCTAGATTGATCGGTAATCAGTAGTAACATTGAGATGTTCTTGATCTACCAACTCAAATGGAAACCATTAATTAATTTTATGATCTACAGCCAAATGAGTAAGACAATCGGCTAGAATAGATGAACAAATTTTGATAATGAAAGCTACGGAAACTACTAAAAGCAAATAAGTTTATCAGAACAAACTAATTTAACGTTTGTGAAATGGCTATGAAAGGTCATTTCAAGAATCGTCTTTTAATGCTAGACACTTTTAAGTAAATAGACAATCGATTAAAAAAAAACCTGGGGAAGGAGAAGAAGACAAATAAAAAAAAAGTCTAGAGGTAAACTATACAATCATACTTTGAAATAGTGAAGATTTGTACTTGAAGTGTATGATTTTGATGTAGTTTTGTTCTCTGATCTGGATAGTTTGGTCATAGAGCTTTCATTATTATTCTGAACAACATCATCATTAGAATAAACTTCACAATCAAATATTCATCGAAAAGAACAAAACTCCATCACAATCATACTCA